AGAGAGAGAGAGAGAGAGAGAGAGAGAGAGAGAGAGAGAGAGTTTTACTAGTGTTGTTTTGTCGCTGATATGATACCCAGATGTTCATTTAGAGCAGATAGGTCGAAATATGAGATTATGTAAATTGTTCATTCGGGGATTCTGTTTTATTTTGGGGGTGTCTCTCCTTTTTTAAGGGTGGAAGTTTCTTTGGTTGAACTTCTATTACCCATTCAGATCATAAAAGTAGAGAGATTCTATACGTTGGAAAGGCTTAAAAGTGTTGATCAGCATTGGATATTGGATATTGTGTTACTTTCCTAAGATTGCTTATTCTTTTTGAAATAGAAACTTAAATGGTGTTGGAAAACCTATTGATTAGAGTGCATCAAAAGCACACCCTCCTTGGACAACTTATCTGCCGCCTCGTTGGTTTCCCTGAAAACGATCTTAAAAGATACAGTTGCTATAAATCTCCATGACTTAGAGCCAATTAACCAAATATAGCTTAAATTCCATGGTACCATCTTGCCCCATTTAATGGTATCAAGTGAATCTCCTTCGACTATTATCAAATTATCCAGATTTGGTCAAAATAATTTTGGACCCTTGCAAAAAAGCTTTCATTTGAGCCTCATTTCTGAATTAGTGGTTATTTTAAGCTTTGGTTTATTGTGATTAAGCTTTGTACGTGGCCTCCAATAGGCATAATTTTTTCCTTTTTTCGCGAAGTTAAGTTGTTACTAAAATCCATCATCAAGGTGGATGGACCAGGCCAGTTCCTTTTTTAATTAGTGAAGCAGCCATCATCCCAAACTTAATCCATTGAAATTGAGCCGCATGGCTCTTGTAAACAGCCGGAGTTCTAATAATATGCTCCCAATTGGAGTACAGGAACATGGCCATCTCGCTCTCTCTCTCTCTCTCTCTCTCTCTGATGAGAACATATCTGTCTGGAGCATATTCTCTCTCTCTGGAAACACTAAACTCTCCCTTCCATTACATGTCCTGTTTTCTCATTTCATATTTGTCAACTTTCTTTGCAAAATCCCCTTTGCAAATTCCCTTCTCATTGATCCCGTCCAAGTTTCTCTTCCAAATTTGTATCTCCGTCCCACACAGCAAAGCTTGCATGATGTGTAGCAAAATCCTCTTCGCAAGTTTGTCTTCCAAATTTGCACGAATCATTACCCATCTCATTGATTCTAGCACAGCAAAATTTGCATCTCGTCCAAGTTTCTCTTCCAAATTTCGTCCCTTTGCGAATTTTGTCTTGCATCCCTTAAAATCTACCTTTTGCTTTTGAGCCTATAAGGCTGTTGGGCCGTTTTCAATCTTGACGAATCCAAGCTCCAATGCACCTATCTTAACTCATCAATTTCTTCCTAAATATCTCTTTGCTCCAATGAATGCTACATCCTCTATGTCCAAGTATCCGAATCTCTCATCTCGCAATATAAGAAATTTTGTGCCAATTTAGTTGACACAAAACTATATGTTGTGGAAAACTCAAATATTCTCTCATTGAGAGTCTAACTTCTTGGATTCATTAATGGTGATTGTCCTACATACCGTCAATTTTTTTTTTTTCATAATGGTAAGAGTGAAATCGAAAACCCATAATACAAATCATGGCTAAAGTCTGACCGGCTTCTTAAAGCCTGGATCACATGCACATTATCAGAAGAGTGTCTTGGCCCTGTTGTTGACCTCAAGATCGCTGCAGAAGTTTGGAAATGCCTAAAGAATGCTTATGCAAGTAATTCAAAAGGTAGGGAATTCCGACTTACCCAGCAACTTCAACTTTGCAAGAAATGGAATTCAACCATATCGGATTATATATGTAAATTCAAGAGTATTTGTGATGATTTGGTGGCTATTGGAAAACCTCTACCAAATGAAAATAATATTTTTGGCTTCTTAATGGACTTGGTACAAAATACGAGAGTTTTGCTACCCCCATGCATAAGATTCTGATTCATTCATATTTTGAAAGTATATCTATTCTTCAAAGCCATGAAATTAGAAATTAGCACCATTTCTTTGAGGAACACTAAGATCCAATACGAAATGTGGCATTTGTTGAACAGCAAATTTTTTTTGGACCCAACAGATGTAACCAGAATTACAGAGGTAGAGGGAGGAACAACTTTGGTGGTCACCATTTCTTCAACCCTCGAGGACGTGGGTTTGTTCAAACTAGCCAAATCAGTAATGTGGCTCATGGGGTGCCCTAGAAAAATAAAAAAAGTGGTGGTATACTTTCGATGTGACACATGGATCAAGATTTCCAACTAGATTCCAATATACAACAGTCAACTTAGATAGCTCGAGAAAAAGTGTCAAATTAATGGGAAACTTGGACATACTGCATTAAAGTATTGGCATCGATTTAACAACTTGTACGAAGCAGAAAATATTCCTTAGGCCCTTGCTACTACGGCTATAGTTGATTCACAAGACTCAAAATGGTTCCTGGACATAGGTGCCTCCACTCATAGGACAAGAGATCTAAGTAAGTTGCAAAATTTTCGTCCCTATATAGGCATTGATAGAGTCATTGTTGGGAATGATGAACAATTAAATATTTCACATGTTGATGATGCAAATATTGCTATTGGGTATGAAAAATTCAATGTTTCTAATGTTTTTTTGGTGCCTAAAATGGAAAAGAGCATGTTTATCTGTTAGCCAATTTACAACAGATTTTTCTTATATTTTTAGGCTCTCATAAAATGATTTTCTGATTAAGGAAATGAGCACATAGAGAACTCTGGTCAGCGGGAGTAGAAAGGGATGATTGTGCTATTGAATAAGTGAAATAATCTGTTCTCTAATCGAAATAAAAGAATATAAGAAGATGTGTGGTATACACATCTTGGACATCCTCAAAATAAAGTAGTTCACTACTTAAAATCTAAACAGTTGATTAATGTTGATGCATGGAATGAATCTTATTATGTTTGTGCTATTTGTCAGATGGGAAAAAATTTTAAGCTTCTTTGTAGTGGTCTTGATAAAACCTTTTCTGAACCTTTCTTTAAGATTCATTCAGTCTTTCGAGCCCTTGCTCCAGTTTTATCGAATCAGAGTAATTGATTTTATATGGTGTTTTTTGATGATTATACTTATTTTACTTGGATTTATCATATGAAACCAAAATCTGAATTTTTCACTGCATTTATGAAATTTCATTATATTGTTGAAAGGTGCTTTGATTAGCCGACCCCAATTAATTGGGAAAAGGCTAAAATGATGATGATGATGGTTGAAAGGATCTTTGATAAAAGAATTCAAGTTTTTCAACATGATGGAGGTGGTGAATTTACTAAAAAAGAATTTATTGATTATCTTAATGGCAATAGAATCATGCAACAATTATCATATCCAGGAGCCCTAAGCAAAATAGAACAGTTGAAAGGAAACATCGAAATATTGTAGATTTGGCCTTACCATGATGTTTCATGTATGAAGTCCAAAATGTTTTTGGGTTGAAGCCTTTTATATTGCAGTATTTGCTATCAATTGAATTCCCTCTATCAATTTTAAAATTGATTCACCATACTCATTATTGTTTGGATGCTTATTAGACTACTCTTCACTTCGAATATTTGGTTGTCGGTGTTTTCCATATATTTGAGACTATGCTACAAACAAATTTAGTCATTGTTCTCTTCTATATGTATTCTTGGGCTATAGTATCCAACATAAGTGCTATAGATGTGTACATCCATCCACATGGCAGGTCTATATATCTAGACATATTGTACTGGATGGAAACATCTATCCTTATATCAATCCCAATTCTTTTTTTGATAGTACTTAGGTTTTGGGGGAGTTGTTCACCTATGCAGAATGATCAGAGGGTTATGAACCTGACATACAGACTCCTTCTTTTGATTCATCAGCTCCACATAAACCGCCCATATTGAGATGCCCTTGATTTATCTGGTTTTTCAAGTCCTTTGCCCATCACCAATGATCGCTCTTCAACTTCTCTTATAGAGGAAAATGTCACAACTGCACCACTAATATAAGATGTCAAAGATGATGCAACAGACAATCATGGTGATGAAAATATTACCACTTAAGAAACCAACCAATCTATTTTTTTTACCAGCCTTTGAGCATCCTCGTCATCACATAGTCATAAGATTTCAAGATGGTACTCGAAGACCTTGTATTCTCCCATCCGTAATAGCAATCTCAAGTGCTCATACTTTTGAAGCTATCTATTCTAAACATAAGACCATTAAGTCTTTCTTAAGTCATTTGGGTTGGCATCATACGATGGAAGAGGAAATTGAAACCCTGTATGTTAATTTAACTTTGGAGCTAGTTCCACATCTTTTAGGTATGAATGTTTAGTTGTTGTTGGGTCTATAAAACTAAATTAAAGTCTGATGGCAGTCTAGAGAGACTCAATGCTTGACTAATTGCTAAAAGATAAAACCAGGTTGTTATAATTGATTTCTATGAAACATTCAGTCTTATTATTAAGCCTGCTAGTGTTTGAATTGTTCTCACCAATGGTTTAAAAAACGGATCGGTGACCCTGATCGGGCACCTCAAAAACCGATCCGGATCGGCGAATCGGCGATCCGGATCGGAAATCGGCTGAATCGGTCGGATTAAAGTTTCAAAAAAATCCGAAAAAATTATTAAAATTAATTATAAATATTGTTTTTTAAGAATCCAATAAAAAATGAGGGTACTACATTATTAACTTTCATTTTTTTTATCAATTTGTGAATATTGAGATGTTCTTTCTATGTATAAATTTATTTTAATTATTAAATTTGCATCATATAAAAGAAAAA